GCTCCTTGGAGGCCAAGATGGCCAAACTTCGTCTCTCATACTTTGGACATATTGTCAGGAGGGAACAATCACTGGAGAAGAATATCATGCTTGGTAAGATGGAGGGTCAGAGAAAAAGAGGAAGACCCCCAATGAGATGGATTGGCCAGGTGGCAGCATTGATGGACTCAAGTGTAGCAGTGGTAGTGTTCGACATTGTTTAGTTCTGCTGTGCATGGGGTCGATATGAGTTCGTTCTGATGAAACCTAACAACAACAACAACAAGGGCACTTAACAGCAGTTTGTTTACAGACTGCAGTTTGTAAGCATTTCACTCAAATACTCTCTCTTCTGATCCTTCCTCATTAACATAACAAAGATCACCCATTTCCTAAATGGGATTATGACCATAGGGATGGTGGCTCTGTACAGAGTTTCTGAGGCTGTAAGTCTTTATGGGAACAGAAAATCTCATCTTTCTCCCCTAGAGCAACTGGTAGATTTGCATTACTGACCTTATGGTAAGCAGTCCAATTTATAATCCACTATGGGAGTAAGATGAGGCTTTCTACTCCCATAAAGATTTGTACCCTCGAAACTCTGTACAGGGTTGCTATGGGTCGGAACCGACTCGACGACACTTAACAACAACAACATGCTATGGCAAAGAACAAGGCACTTTCTTTCAAGAAAGTGAGGTGGCACAGGAGGCACTCACTCATCTCTGCAAAGAAATTTGGAAGACAACTATCTGGTCAACTGCTTGGAAGAGATCCATCTTTGTGCCCATTCCAAAGAGAGGTGACCCAACAGAATGTGGAAATCATCGGGCAATCTCTTTGATATCCCATGTGAATAAATTTTGCTAAAGGTAATACAGAAACGGCTGTAACCATACATTGACAGAGAACTTCCTGAGATTCAAGCTGGATTCAGAAGAAGCCGTGGAAAAAGGGATATCATTGCGGATATCCGATGGATCTTGGCATAAAGCAGAGAATATAAGAAAGATGTTTACCTGTGCTTTATTGACTACACAAAAGCTTTCAATTGTGTGGATCATGACAAGCTACGGACAACAGTGCGAAGTATGAGTATTCCGGAACACTTCATTGTACTCATGAGGAATCTGTACCTGGACTGAAAGGCAGTTGTTGGAACAGAACATGGGAACACTGAATGGTTTAAAATAAAGAAAGGTATGCGACAGGGTTATATTTTGTCATCATACTTATTTAACATGTATGCTGAGCAAATAATCTGAGAAGCTGGGTTCTATGAAGAAAAATATGGCATCAGGATTGAAGGGAAACTCATTAACAACCTGCAATATGCAGTTGATACAAGCTTGCTTGCTGAAAGTGAAGAGGACTTAAAATATTTACTGGTGAAGATCAAAGAACTCAGCCTTCGGTATGGATTGCATCTTAGTGTAAAGAAAACAAAAATCCTCACCACTGGACCAATAAAATTGAAGTTGTCCAGGACTTCATTCTTCTTGAATCAACTATCAACACTCAAGGAAGCAACAGTCAAGAAATCAAATGATGTATTGCATTGGGCAAATCTGCTGCAAAAGACCTTTTTAAAGTGTTGAAGAGCAGAGATGTCAGCTTGAGGACTAAGGTGTGCCTGACCCAAGCCATGGTATTTTCAATAACCTCATATGTGTGCGAAAGCTGGACAGTGAATAAGGAAGACCACAGAAGAATTGATGCTTTTGAGTTATGGTGTTGGAGGAGAATATTGAAAGTGCCATGGGCTGCCAAAAGAACCAATAGATCTGTGTTGGAAGAAGTGCAGCCAGAGTGTTCCTTGGAGGCCAAGATGCCAAACTTCGTCTCTCATACTTTGGACATATTGTCAGGAGGGAGCAGTTACTGGAGAAGGATATCATGTTTAGTAAGGTGGAGGGTCAGAAGAAAAGAGGAAGACCCCCAGCAAGATGGATTGGCCAAGTGGTAGCATCAATGGGCTCAAGCATGGCAACAATTGTGAGGTTGGCCCAGGATCAGGGACTGTATTGTTCTGTTGTGCATAGGGTTACTATGAGTCAGTACCAATTCAATGGCACCTAACAACAACAACAACGTTATCAGTGTGTAGTAGTTACGAATTCGTCTGCTAACCTCAAGGTCGAACCTACCTGCTGTTCCGCGTGAGAAAGATGAGGCTTTCTGCTCCCGTAAAGATTTACAGCCTCAGAAACCCTGTACAGGGTCGCTATGAGCGGGCACCGACTCCATGGCACACCACCACCACCACCACCAGTAGAGTCCTGGTGTGGTGCTGTGGGTTAATGTGCTAGCCTGCAAAGTCAGTTTGAGTCACAAGGTGGGTAGTTCAAGCTCACCCATCAGTTGCTCCTTGGAAACGCTATACAGGGTCGCTATGGGTTGGAACTGACTCAACTACATTTAACAACAACAACAACACTGCCAGTGCTCCTTAACCATAGGTATTGTTGTTGTTGTGGTTCAAACTGACCTTGCGGTCCAGTGTTTTATCCACAGCGCCACACCAGGACCCCAAACCATAAGCATAGTGATTAGGATTTACAATACTGTGGCGGGGGTGGGAGGCACAATACAATCCACACTACACAGAATTGGTCCTCTTTGAGGAGTGGATGCTGTCCTGACCTAGGGCCAATTTAGCCCTCTGACCCAGCCTATCCCTCTACGCAGTTCCTAGAGGAGGGGACCTAGGAGTGAGGGATTTCTCCATGAGGCAGGCAAGAAGCTGGGAAGAGGACCTTCTAGCCAGACTTCCATGGGAATTCCTGCCCAGTGGAGGCTGCACACTCAGCTCCATTCCTACCCACACTCTCCATAGGGGTCCAAGCCAGGCGGTGACCTTCAAAGTGAGGGAGGGACTCCGGAACTCAGAGTGGGGCATTGCCGGACGCATGGCTAAATCTGCCTTTCTAGCTCTCCCTGGAGCTGCCGAAAGGCTGGGTGGCTTTTCTCTAACTCTGGTCACTCTGGCAGGGTTCTTGGTAGCAGGTCCTGATGTTCCTGAGATTTCTCTCTTTCAGATTCAAACTGACAAAGAGGAATATGGCCCATTTTGTGGTACAACATTGCCTCCCAGGATTGAAACCAAGAGCAACAATGTGACCATCACCTTTGTCACGGATGAGTCAGGGGACCACACAGGCTGGAAGATACGCTACACGAGCACAGGTGAGAACAAGCAGGTCTCTCTTGGATCCAGGTGGAAACTCAGAGCTTCTGTTTCTTTCAGGAGGGTCAAGGGCTGAAGGGAATGTTGGTCAAGAAGAGAGCTGTGTGTAAGTATTACATGTGAGCAGGATTGAATTCTGGGCCAGGCCTGGAGGTGCAGACCAGATATGAGTGTGGCTGCCTGTAGGCAATGGTTCCTTAAGAGGAAACATCACCTTTCCATCCTTCCATTCTTCTGCCCTTCCTTCCTTCCATCCATCTGTCCACCTTTTCTTCCACCATCCATTTATCCATCCTTCCATCAATTCTTAGTTTCTTAGTGCTGCCTGTAGTTGAACTATCACAAGATGCTGTAGTTGTTAGGTGCCCTTGAGTTGGTTCCAACTCATAGCAACAAGTTGGTTCCAACTCATAATGACCCTATGCACAAGAGAATGAAACACTCCCCGATCCTATACCATACTCACAACTGTTTACGTTTGAGCCCATTGCTGTTGCCACTGTGACAATTCATCTCACATTGTCTTTTTTAATGACGCTCCATTTAACCAAGCACGTTGCTCTTGATAACATGTCCAAAGTATGAGAGGTGAGGTTTTGCCATCCTGACTTCTAAAGAGCATTCTGACTGTACTTCTTCCAAAACAAATTGATTTGTTCTTCTTGCAGTCCATGGTACTTTTAATATTCTTCTCCAACACCATAATTCAAATGCACTGATTGTTCTCCAGTCTTCTTTATTTGTTGTCTAACTTTCACATGCATATAAGGCAACTAAAAGTAAATGGATTGGGTCAGGCACATTTCAGTTCTCAAATGGATCTCTTTGCCCTGTAACACTTTATAGAGGTCTTTTGTAGCAGATTTGGCTAAACCAATATGTTGTTTGATTTCTTGACTGCTGCTTCCATGTTTATTGATTGTGGATCTAAGCAAAATGAAGTCTTTGACAACTTCAATCTGTTTATCATTCATCATGATGTTCAGTATTGAGGATGCAATACTTTGAGGTGCAACCTATACCAAAGGCTGTGGTCTTTGATCTTCATCTTCTAAGTCCTCTTCACTTTTAGCAAGCAAGATTGAGTCATCTGCATATCACAGGTTGTTAATGAGTCTTCCTCCAACCCTGATGTCATGTTCTTCTTCACATAATCCAGCTCCTTGGATTATTTCCTCAGCATACAGATTGAATAAGTATGGTGAAAAGATACAACCGTGGCCCAAACCCTTCCTGATTTTAAACCATTCAGTATCCCCTCATTTTGTTCTAACAACTGCCTCTTGGTCTATGTACAGGTTCCTCATGAGCACAGTTAAGTGGAATACCCACTCTTCACAATATTATCTATAGTCTGTCATGGTCCAAACAGTCAAAAGCCTTAGCATAATCAATAAAGCACAAGTAAACATCTTTCAGATATTCTCTACTTTCAGCCAAGATCCATCTGACGTCAGCGCCGATGGATGTTCCTAGTTTCATGGCCTCTTCTGAATCCAGCTTGAATCTCTAGCAGTTCCCTGTCAATGTACCATTGTGACTGCTTTTAACTTATCTTTAGCAAAATTTAACTTGTGCCTGTGATATTAATGATATTGTCTGATGACTTCCTCATTCAATTTGGTCACCTCTCTTTGGAATGGGCACAAATATGGACCTCTTCCAATCGGTTGGCCGAGTAGCTGTCTTCCAAATTTTCTTGGCATAGATGAGTGAGCACCTCCAGTGATGCTTCAGGTTGTTGAAAGATTTCATTTTGTATTCCATCAGTTCCTGGGGCCTTGTTTCTCACCAAGTTTCAGTGCAGCTTGGACTTCTTCCTTCGGTACCATTGGCTCTTGATCATATGTTAGTTTGTGAAATGGTTGAACATCGACCTTTATTATTATTTCAACCATTTCTTTTTGGTGCAGTGACTCTGTGTATCCCTTGCATCGCCTTTAGATATTTTTTGCATCATTCAATGTTTTGCCCACTGTTGTTGAGTGGATCCCGACTCTTAACGACCTTACGCACAGTAGAATGAAATACAGTCTGGTCTCATGCTATCCTCACAATTGTTGTTCAACCTGAACCCATTGCTACTGCCCTGTGCCAGTCCATCTCATTGGGGGTCTTCTTCTTTTTCACTGCCCTTCCATTTTACCTAGCAGATATCCTTCACCAGAGACTGGTCCCTCCTGACAATATGTCCGAAGTATGAGAGATGAAGTTTCGTCATCCTGGCTTCCAAGGAGCATTAAAATTAAGTTGTACTTCTTTCCACACAGACTGGTTTGTTCTTTTAGAAGTCCATGGTCCTTTTAATAGTCTTCTCCAATACCATAACGCAAATGCATCAATTCTTCCACGGTCTTTCTTATTCACTGTCCAACTTTCACATGGATACATGAGGCCTATTGAAAATATCACAGTTTGGGTCATGTGTACTTTAGTCTTCAAACTGATATCTTTGTACTTGAACACTTTTAAAGAGGTCAGAGGTCTTGTGCAACAGATTTGCCTGATGCAATACATCGTTTGCTATCTTGACTGCTGCTTCCATGAGCATTGATGATTGATACAAGCAAAATGAAGTCTTTGACAACTTCAATCTTTTTTCCATTATCATGATGTTACTTATTGGTCCAGTGGAGAGGATTTTTGTTTTCTTTATACTGAGGTGTAACCCATACCGAAGGCTGTGCTCTTTGATCTTCACTGGTAACTATGGATATTATCTTATCATAGACATGCTGTACTTCAAGATAGATCTTGAAACGTTCTTTTTGATGATGAATGTAATGCCATTCCTCTTCAGTGTCATCCTGGCGTAGTAAACCATCTGATTAGCTGATTAAAAATGGCTACTACCAGTCCTTTTCAGCTCACTAATGCCTAGGATATCAATGTTAATGCGTTCTATTTCTTTTTCAACAACTTGCAGTTTTCCTAGATTCACACTTCATGTATTCCATGAATGGATAATCTCCTTATTTTGAGTTATGTCCCATCAGCACATGAAGGTTCATTAGCATGATCATGATCAACTCTACTTTGAGAAAGCAGCTCTTCTCCATCCATATTTTGAGTGCCTTCCAACCTGAGGGGCTCATTTTCCAGCACTGTATCTGACAATATGCTGGTGCTTTTCATCATGTTTCAGTATTCAGTATTCGTGAGCTGACAGTGTTCTACTGCTATTCATAAGGTTTTCAGTGACTAAATATTGGGAAGTAGTTCATCTCTCCTTCTTAGTCTGTCTCAGTCTGAAAGCTCAGCTGAAATATGTCTACCATGGGTGACCCTGATGATATTTAAAATACCAGTGGCATAGCTTCCAGCACCATGTAAACTACCACAGTATGATAGACGAATGGTGGGCTTTGTCCATAGAGTCCTTCGATATTGCAAGTCAGGGCTTGCATTTGTTATTCAGTTTCCTAAGCCTGAGAAATGCTAAGCATGTTCTTCCTTTTTGGTTTTCTAACTCCAGGTCTTTGCACATTTCATTATGATACTTAACTTTGTCTTCTCGAGTTTCCTTCTGGCATTATCTGTTCAGGTCTTTTACTTCATCATTTCTTCCATTTGCTTTAGCTACT